GGCTCGTTAAGCAAACGAGCCGAACACGAACAAACTTTTTGAGCTCGAAATATAAACGAGCCGGCTCAGCTCGTGTTCGGCTCGTTTACACCCCTAAATGCGGTTATAACCCCCAATACCCTCCCTGTAACCTATTTGTAGGTTACAAACGTACGCAGCTCTACGTACGTCTTACGTACTCAAATTTTTTTCCCATGACGGTTGGAATGTTCGAAAAATCTCCCATTTTTCCTTGCTTAGCAAAGGGCCTCCAGAATTCAAGAATTGCACCTGATAGCTAATTAAAAAATAATAATAATGGTTACCTTCCATTATTTTGAAGCTTTGTTCAGTCAATCGGATAAAAAGCCTCCAGCTCCCTTAGCATAACAATATAACTTAATTTATATGATTAGTTATCATCAGAGAAAGTGGGCACCAAGAAAAAAAGTTTGTTCGAGCCCAACAAATTAAGTAATTGCATCAATCAAGTTCAACATATGAAAAGTAATCGAAGTGAAAGCTTATTGACCAAAGTGGGCTTCTCTTTGACCAGTTCTACAGTCCTTGTTAAATAAGAAGAGTGAAGAACTCTCTCCTCGGCTCCTGTAAATCTACGAATTAAAGACTTCTGCCGACGTAATTCAATTTGTAAAAAGTTGGCTTTGCACTACATATAACTACATGGCATATAAAATCATATTCCAATTAGTCAACAAAAAATAATTAATAACGTAAATTTTATAAATAGATAAACTTATTAATAGCCTTAATGTAATTCCCCTAAAATTCAACAAGCTCGCCTGCTCTATTATAATTCACATATGGCTGTTGGAAGGGAGAAAATATTGCATCCCAAGCAGTGTCTAGACAACGGACGCGATACACCGACGGTCTCTCCTCCAGTAAATCGCATCCGTTGTCAGGACGCTGCTTGCCTCTGGAGTCCAGATGCAATATTTTTTCGTTGAAAGTTGACTACTCACCAGCAAAATAAAAGTCAGGACAAACTTTTTAAGAAACAGAGAGAGAAAGAGCCCATAAAGAGACTTGATATTTATATGTCAATGGAGATATAAGTAGCCATATAAAAGAATGAAAGGAATTAGCGTACTGGTTAAGTGGCACCTGAGGCAGGGATGACCAACCAACAATTGATCAATATCAACAAATTATACAATCAAAACTAACCCTTGGAACCACACCTTCAAGGCATAGGTTCCCTTCCCCTGCCACAAGGAGCCATTCTATTAAAAAAAAAAAAAAAAAGAGTAACAGCTTGGATAAATCTAAGAATCAGGCCGTGCTGGTGCGTCAATTTGAGGCCAGCACAAAGAATCAATTATGTGAATCAGATCTGATCTAAAAGGGCACCCCTGTAAATCAATTGCCCACTCGGGCTAAAAAACTAAAAGCCACTTTCTATAATTTCAGCCGAGATTAAAATCTGTTGTTAGCAACCATGACTGTCAGGTCATGCTCTGAGAAAAATGTCTGCTCGCCTTTTCATTGCTCTCGGGAAAAATGACAGTAGGAACTGCTCTGCTTAACCACGCCACAGGATAAAGAAATGCCTTCAACTTGTACACTATTTGGGCCGAGCTCAACGGAGACTGATTATTTTTTTGATATTGGTGGATTTCCAATATTATAGGCGTATAACTTCTGCTGCTCCTCTTTATGCTTCCTAAATTTATTGTCTGGTTTAAAGACAGAAGGGGGATGATGATGCCTCATCTTGGGTGGTGTTGGAGCAGCTCCATCAACAATATAGTTTCTGGCAGGAATTTCTTTTGCTCCCTCCAAATTGGGCTTCTTCAAGCGTTTGAACGCCTGGGAAACAAAAGACTATGTTTAGGTTCAATCCAAAGTCAATGTAAAGTGTAGGAAAAGCAGAATGAGAATAATTAGAATAATATGAAATTATTGCAGTAATCATATGCTTGGGCCCTCCCACACATTCTATCTATATCTTTCTTTCTAGTTAATATATTAGCCTTATTGGGCTTTATATATATATATATATTATATATATATATATATGGAGTTTATGAGGACCTCAGGCATGCTCGAAGCATGCATTCCATTATGGAAAATTTACATAAATACCACTTAATTCCTATGTATTTACATATCTAACAGCTAAACTTCAAATCTTCCCATATGCCACTTTACATATATATAAAAAGGTGTAAAAGCATCGGGGTATGGATCTACCAAACTTGATATGTTCTCATGTGCCAGAATAGTACAGTTATAGGAAAGCTAAAAACTAATACGTATCGCACTGTTTGTTTTGATGATAATGATCTAATGTGACATCAAACAAAACTATAAATATTTTTCTACAAGGGTTTATTTTCACAAAGCAAACCATCAAGATAATCGAGTGATTCACATAAGTAAATTGGAAAATTTGCCATTTGAAGGAATGTAAATTCAACACTTGGAAAATTCAACACATTGAAGATGATAAAGTTGATTCAAGGCTTGAAGATTCAAATGAAGATCACAAAATTTAAGTTCTATTGGGATAGCTTTGCATAGGAGTACTTAGAATTTAGTATATTTGATTGAGCAAATCTTTACCAACAACCTCAAAGAGGATGGACACAAAAGAAAATTAATTAGAATTACTCAAAGATTATCTTTAAAATACAAAAATGGTATTCAATAAAATTTAATTTCTATATATATGAAAATTTATTTTATTTTGTAATTATATATTTAATTGGCTAAACATTATAATGATGATCATTAAAGCAAGTTCAATTTGATTCCATGGCAAAAGGAAGCTGGAACTGAGGACAGAGACCAAAGAACTTGTCACAAAAGGACAGGAAGAGTAGAGGAAGTTGGATGCAATGAAAGCAAGGGAAACCAAAATCAGAAACGCTATTGTTTCAAAAGGAGGTGAGTGGGATGAAGATTGCAGAGCATTTCCATCCCAATTTGCTAGGCTTATAAAATTTGACTTAAACAAATTAATCAACAGATATTCATCAAACAAATCTTTGTTTGACCATTAAGGAAATGAGTCATTGAATGTAGCTCTATCCCTCAAATGCACAAGGTACTTTCCATATCCACCATCATCAGTAGAAATATTACTTCATCAATTATCATAGCTTCAGTTATCATATTAATAATTAGTTACTTTCATTAAAGACAGTTGAACTTATCAATTTTAGTTATGAATCAAAGAGGTTTCCACCAACACATGCATGAACCCCAAAACTTCGAAAAGCAAAAGAAATTCTTCCAAGAAATGCTCTCTCATGCGGTTTGAAGAAGAAAAGCAAAACGTTTCTAATACTAAAAAAGCTTTTATAAAATCAGTATATCATCTAGGCGCTCATTTTCTATAACAAAAAAAAAAAGAGAGAGAGACACATGACTGGGTTAGTGATCATGCACTATACCATGGTTATCTCATAATGTTCAAGAGCTTGAAAATGCCCCAATGCACTGCTCATAAAAACTTAGAAAAAAAAAAGGAAATTAATTTTTTTTCTGAGGAGAGAACGGCCTAGTGAAAGATCAAATCTAATTATAAAAATCAAGCAGCATTGAATTAAAATAACCAAATAAATACCCATAGCCTCCACAATGACACTATACATCTCATACTAAGTATATCCTGAGACCCTTTTCAAATCTTCTCCAAGTCAAAGCAATATTCAAAAGGAATCAAATAATAGGCAACAATCACTATAGTTGTTCCCATTGTATAGGACGGGTCAAAGTTCATGATGGTGGTCCAACAATCAACAAACATAATCAAACTTATTATCCTGCAGTAACATTATTTCATCATGTTAATAAATAAATCTAATCTGGAGATAAAACATCAAAAAGTTCACAAAATTGCCCCACACTTTGAACAAGAAAACCTTAAATCTCATCAAACAAATCAAAAGTCAACTAAAAAAAAGCCACTCTAAACATCGACCTTGAATTCCATCTAAGCAAATTAAAGGATGATATCACAGGCATTGTTCCAATTGTAGAAGGACCAAACAAAAATATAAATGCATCAATTTTTAAAGGAAATGAAATCTTCTATAGATCATTTTCAGGTTTTATAAATATTACATATTAGAAGTATGTTTCTTACAATGCTGGAAAGGGGAAGACAGAAGTGATCACTACCATCAAATTCATGACTCCTTGTCCCAATAAAATGTGCATATAGCAGACGTTTTTCCTGACTAATCTACATCAAGATTCTTCCTCGAGAAGACTAATATGATTATTAAGCTAATGTACCAAAGATAATTCAGTATAGCCTTTTCAAATTCACATAATATTGAAGTTTTATAAACATTATATTAAAACTAAACAGAGATCTTACAGCCTTATTGTGTATAGCATTAAAGAACTTACAGCCTTGTTCATACACAAAGAATCCATGCTATACTGCATTATTCTTAGTTAAAAAAGAAACTAATTACACAATTATTAGTTGACAATTTCACAAGAACTGAACATACAAAGTATTTATAAAGTTTTTGTAGATGCACGCATGAGAATATGGAGGGAATCACAAAAGATTGCAGGGAGGGAATAATGCAGGAATTGGAATTACAGCTAGATACTACCAAGCATCACATTAAGGGGCCCAGTACAATGCACACCAACAAAAATCACGTCTTTTAAAAAAGCTGGAAGAGGAAGAACCAGATGAGAGGTACTTATTACTCTTCATATCGATAATGTTGCAGAATTTACATTTAATCTCAATTTAAAATGTTCATATAGAATATAATATTTACTAAATATTATAAATATCACCAAAAAGAAAAATATGATTAGTAAGCTAATTGTCCCAAGGTTTTCCGATTTACACAACATGTTATTAAAGGAATAATCAATGTAAGATTCTTACCCAAGAAGAATAACGTTATTAATAAGTTGATTGTCCCAAGATAATCCAGTATACCCTTGATAATCAAGTTGAACGAACCCAAATGCAAAACATAAGATCCTTGGATTGTAGAACAATTCCACTCATTTGGTTTTCTATAATAAGGCAATTCCTGATTTTATAGAACGGTTGAGCAGAAAGTACATATGTTTGGGAAACATAACTGCCATAAAAATGGGTGTGCCTATATATAAATATAAACATTCATAAACACATACATGCAGATTTTTTATTCTTACATGTAAAACAATGCCCATTCTCCTCCCATTCAAAAATTGAATTCCTAACCAACCAATATAAGAACAAAACTATTCTATATTTACTTCAGCATCCTTAAAATTAATAGACTAAACAATTTCAACTCTCTTACAATCATTTGATCATAAATCTTATCCATAAAAGTTTGTTCAACTGATGTTTTTTATTATAGTAAAAAAAAAAAATTGCAATCACTCAATAGAGATTTTAAGTGGTTTCTATATGCATCTAATCAATCACATTTTTTCACATGCCCGATGAAAAGTTCAATTATTAAGAAATTAAATAAAACACGAGCCATTATAGTAAACTAAATGTTTGATCTAAGTTTGGCTGATATCAGGGATCAGGTCATTTATTTTAATAAAAATAACTTAAAATGTTTTATTTCTTTAGGAAAGGCAATTTAGTAAATAGGGGCCCTCAGAGAATTACTTAATAAGTTTTATTTCTTAAGGACTGACAGCTTAGTAAATCGGGGTCCTCGGAAATTTAGATATGTTTTAATCAAAAATAAAAAATAAAAAATAAAAAAAAAGATATAAGTTTTAAACTCTTCTTAGACAAGAATTCAGCACTATCTTCAATTGTTTTAAATCCAGGTTCTCCATATTTCAATTACTTATGGTCATTATTTTGTCTTGTTAGGAGAGCAGTTATGCAGGGATCTGCTGGAATATCTAGACTGAGTTTTTCCACTGTTTTGGTAGAAATGGCAGCCAGAACATTTTGGCTGATCGACTGAAAAATCACAGCAAGGAAAGTTACCCAGAAGTTCCAATATGTTGTCTGGCCAAAACATGGAGATTTGTTGGAACAACAAGAAAAAAAAAAACTGAGGTGATCCCTGCAACATTGTTCCCTGCAACATTGTTCGTAATCATTTTGTTAGTGTTTTTGTCAACATCTGCCTCACCACTTAAAAGAGCATTGAAGCTGTTTTGAATTTGTATGCTTATTTCTGCTGTTCGTAATAAGATTGATGCAGTATATTTAAAATAAACTGTGGGTGTTTTCTGCATGTCCTCTTGTTCCTTCTCTTGTAACTGGTGTCAGTGGCCAACAAAGAGCAATGTCATTCTTCTCCTAGCAGTAGGGTTAGAGTAGCAAACCCATCTCAAGCCAATCAAATCCAGGTTTAAGATCGACTCAAAGCAATTCAATCTAATCTTCAACTGAGACAAACTAACAATAAGATGTCTCAATACATTCTAAATTTCAGCGGATCTTAAAATACTACTGATTCAAGCTTACTTCCAGTCAAAATTTGACTTGATTTATATCACCAAGACAAATCAGTCCAACATACATTCATAAATCTATTTGAAACACAACTATATTGATTCCATATATGCATAAATATGTGAATACTAATTCAAAAAAATATGAATAGATGCAAGTATACAATCACACATATTATCATATAAATTTTGATTTGATTTCAAACAAGCTAAACTTGATCCACACATGAATAATAATCAACTTATAAATTTAATTCTAGCTCAATCCGAGCCAAAGACTAATTCAATTATGAAATGATATTTAATTATCAACTTAAAATAAATGCTTCACCTGACAAACAAAAAGGATCTACTGCAAATGGTGTGCTCATTGGTTCCCAGAGTTGAGGTCACAAGTTTAAGCCCTCTCTGAACTTCTTTAAACTAAAAATTTTCTAGCTCATACATCAATTTTGATCGGTAAGTGCCTTTTACCATATTTCCAGTATACAAAATATTTTGAATAATTTTAAATGCCATTTTTAAAAAGAACTTTTCCGGAGAAACAAAGACTTTACAGGTGTGTCTATGCTATGACCTTCAAATGTAACTAACAAAACTACATATATTTTCTGTAACATCACTTAACTTAGTGGAGCACACTTCACAACTTTAAGATCATTTAATAATCAATCAATGGAACAAAGTTTTCTAAATGGCTGGCTCAAATTACATGATATGTTAATTGTGAAAGAGTAAAGATATAAAAGTAGTCTGAAATTAAATACATTAGTTGTTCAAAATTGAAACATATCAAGATGTTTTGATTGATAAAATAGATAAGGTAAAATTAGGCTTTTAGAAGGGCTTGTATATGTCGTTGGATCACATGTTGTGAGTGATCAAATTAAAATAAAAAAATAAAGAAACTAGATCAATATGTAATTCCAAGGATGTGGCCTTTTTACATATATACACAAATATTAAAAATATTCATAATATTAAACCGATTTTTATGCATGAGATTGCTAGTTTGTGTGTATAAATACACAGAAATACCTACATGCATCAATTTAATAAAATATTATTATTTGTATTACATCATTTATTCTAATTTATTTCTATTTCTCTCATTCCACTTTCTCTAACACGCTAGCAAACAAGCCACGAGTACTTTTACTACACCAGACTAGCCCAATCAGAATCCATCCATAAAACAACTCACGGATTCCTCAAAGGAAAAGAAAAGGACAGAAAGGCTTAAATATATAAAAGGCTTTCAACCAGACCATCTCACTGCAGTGTCTTCCTCAACCTTTTTCCCATAAACTTTCTGGCGTTTGGTGTTGTCCATCTAGGCAATTTGTGTATTTTCCTTTTGCTTTTCATACATAATGTAATAAAAGCTCTCATGCAAGCAAATATGCCATGAGGCCACAAAACTTCTACTATGATCAACAAGCTCAATCAAAAATACATCAATAAAACTACTGACGAACTATTTAAGGACAAGGGAAAAGCAGCAAGACTTCAATAAATCTTTCTTGCAAACTATTACAAATCTTTATTCGAACTATCTCAGCATAACAATTTCCTCAAAGCCATTTCCCTCAAACTTTTTGGGGTTCGTTTCCCACCTGCTGCAACTTGTTTTTTTTTTTTTTTTTCTTTTTTAATAAAAAAATGTAATCAAGCTCATAAATGCAAGAAAATAAACCGTGGGACCATAATGATTACAAAAAACTTTTGCTACACTCAACCACCCCAACCAAAATCCATTCATAAAATACTCACGGATTCTTGAATAAAAAGAAAAAAAAAGAAGGCTTAAATACATCTATCCAGCAAGCCATTCAGAGCATCCATCAGACCATCTCAGTTTAGCATTTTCCTGAAACATTTATCTACAAAATTCCTGGTGTTGAGCGTGCTGCCCCGTCTGCTAAATTTTGCTAATTTTTAAATCAAATAATATAATCAGGCTCTTAATTTAAAGGGCAACTCGTATATCAGGATGTATTCAATGAATGGATCAAGTACAAGATATAAATGATTTTTGTATGGACTAAAGAATGAATGGATCAAGTACAAGATATAAATGATTTTTGTATGGACTAAAGAAAACAGAAGTTAAAGAACATCTCACTGCAGCATTTTCCTCAACCATTTTCAAATAATTGTTCTGATGCTGGGTGGCGTCCATAGGATGCAATTTGTTTGTTTTTTTATATCAAATAATGTAATAAAGCTTTTATTTAAAGGAATACTCACATAAAAGGGTGCATTTATAATTAAAGTACAAGAAATATAATCATATTGGTCAGATCTAAAGCAAAGAACAACTAGAGAACACAAGAAAGAATAATTCGAATATAGATAGGAAATACAAAAAAAATTAAGATATAAACGAAAATAATAGGTGTAAAAATTAAGGTTCATCTAATTACCGGTTTTCTAGAGAACCTCGAGTCCGCTCTAGTTTTTTCCACTGCACTCACAGCACGCCTGCGCTTAACTCTGAATATTTCAGAGTCTGAATCATCAACATCATGAACTGAATTTCCAGAGCTACCTTCATATCCCTCAACAGAAATTTCAGATGCAGTTGATTCAGCAGAATTATTGAAACAAGTTGACGTAATCTGGGAACTCTTGTGAAAAGGTTTCACTGCATTGGATGTCATGCATTCCTGTAACATTAAAACCAGAAAATTATTCTAAACAAAAATTGTGACATTTGTTGCTTCTCTAAAAACCACCCTTTATATTATATATTGGAAGAACAACGCAACAATTAGATCTTTACATGATTGATTGTAAGACACTCTCTTGGAGAAGAAAAAGTTGAACTTGAATAAAGTTTACATTCCGGTGTAGCATCATGTTCGATACCTTCCTCAAATCTTATTTGACAATATGGAAAGTAACCAGCCTCATTCCGGCAACTTTCCTGTAATCGCTTTCCCACGTCTCCTGTTATCTCATCTTGTTCAAACTTCTTTGCTACAGCCTCCATCACTAAAAGATCTGTCCTTAGAAACATGGTACGACTGGAGCCACAATGACAGTTTTTTATACAAGTCTCTGCGATACCAAATCAAAAACTGAATTGACTAAGAAAAAGAAACAAGATAACAAACCAGATTGAAATACAGAAAAAAGTTTAATACCGTGATGAAGGCAAATTGCACCAGTATTGCAATTGCACCTAACGTAAGCCACATAGCAATCACGTTTGCAGATGCTGCAAAGTATCATTTCTGGAAAATTTGAAGAATAAGAAGCCCGAGCTCCCGATTTCATGAGACACCAACGAGCATAATGTTGGAATCTCATTAAGTCTGCAAATAAAACCTTCACATGGTGCTGAGAAAGCATTTCATTCTTTCCAGAGACAGATTTTTTGGTATCTGAATCTGTTAGGCTCTTGAAAAGAAGCATCGCTTCCTTGCATAGTAGTTCCTCATAGGGTAATAAGGGCGTCCTATTAAGGAGTGCATAGCGTTGGCTAGCAACAATACCCAAAGAAAACCAATCATCAATAGCAAAATTGACAGCTTCACCACAATTAAAACCTATAAGACAAAAAATAAATAAATAAAATAGAATACTTCACGGGGTAAGTATTCAATGAAAAAACATTTCAAGGAAAAACAAAATTTTCTTTTCACAGCTGATTAGACAACAGTATTTACCATGACTGAATCCTGCATGATAAGCTCGAGGAAATGTGATTATAAACTCGCCGGGATTTTGTACGGCTTTATAAACTGGAACATTATGATCTAACAAAATATTTGGGGGAAACATAGTAGTTTTTCCCAAAAGCACATCAAATGCTGCATCATCTCCTTCAGTTGAAAAAATTTCACGTTTATAAACATATTCCTGAGCCACCTTTTCGAAGTCAGGCGCTGCATAACCCGGAATTCCATACCAAGTTTTAGCTGCTCCACAATGATGATAGTTGATGCTGCCAGATATTATCAAATCCTTAAAACCATTCTTTCAAACAAGAACTAATAAAAAGAAATCAAAATTCTATAACAAGAAAAGATTTCGCTGCAAACCTATACAAGAAGTGATCTTCAACATGCCAAGCGAACATGCTAAAAAGCATCCCAATGTAGAGCATGGGATCAGTTACTCCCTGCGTGAAAGTAACAAAGTGATATTCAATCATTATTATAACAATGATCAGAAGAAAAAAAAAACATACCAAAAAAAATAGTGTTAAAGCTTCACTTACAGGAATAGAGAACTGCAAAAGCCGCAACACAGACTTGGGAAGGCGAGAAAGCATCTAAAAATAAATACAATTTCAAATACAAAATAAGGTGAAATGAAATTGGTTCCAGAAAGAAGATACACAGGTTCACACGAACCCCCGAAATGAATATAACAGGAAAAGGAAAAGAAAAAAGATAAACGGTAAAAGTAAAAGAAGAATACAGTCCATATCATGCAATAGTTGAGCAGGAGAGGAACAAGCTAAAATAGATCCACACCTTCAAGTTCCATTTACTTGTCCCCAGTTGATCATTAGGAGAGCATGAGAAGGCACTGCCATCAATGTCACAGGCATATTCAACAAAATCAGTCTTGCCAAAAGAGATTTCCTGCCAGAACTGTTCTTCAACATACTTAGCAGGGAGACATCCAGCACTGGAATATCTTCGAGCAAACTCTCTGTTTGCCATCTTCTCAAAATCACGAAATGTATACTTCCTGGATTATTAAAAGAAAATGGTGCCATCAGGGTGCAGATTACGGGGAAAGCAAAAGAAGACCATACATATTAGTAAGGAACTCACCTTCCACTCATAAAGAAGGTAATTTTATCATCAGCACTCCACTCAGATAGACGAAAAGGCTGCACACGCGTAGTAAACTTCAATCCACCTTGCTCCTTCATCAATACGGCACCAGCAGGAACAGAAGCACAAATAGGAGATATTATTTTGCATATGCCTGACAAGCAAGATTCTAAAATCAGTCACGAGGTACAAATAAAATGTTCAAATAATATAAAATGCCTGGTACATGTGGGATCTACAAATACATTTCTTCTCTAGATGATAAACAAATAATAATATAAGAAAAAAATGGAACTATTCATATATCGTCTGTAATTGGACATATTAACACAAATTGAAAAGCACACGAAACAAGGATACTGACAAGAAAATAAGTTTATAATGTGTTAAAAGGAATGAGAGGAAACTTGATGCATGGTATGAATCAAAACAAGGCGTATAAATGCAAAAATATGGAATATTGATGTGTAGCACGTCTCCAAAAAAAAGTGCACACTTGAGATCATCATAAATTGCTGGTAAGAAAGCATTTGATAAAACAATAATTGTAGGTAAGAAAATTTATGATAGTCATGAATGAATAGTAAGCTTTTCAACTTCAAAGTTGAGGAAGGGACTCAAAGACATAATTTTAGGATAACATATAATTGTAATTGCTATCCTCTTGTCTGAATCATTTAATGTGAAGATAGGAACTTTAATTGAAGCAAAGGATAACATCCACAAGGAGTATGCATTTACTTCAAAGTGAGCATATTGTCGCTTACAGATGCATAAGAACAAAGAACAAATCATAGAAAAATACCATATTTTGAAGCTATAGGCGATATCTTCTGGAGGTAAGTCAAAGGATCATCAAATTCCTCCTTTGTTGGGAAGAAAACAGGGCATTCTGGAATCCTATCTATCCATTCCATGTTAGACATATTAAAATATTCTAGTTTACGCTTTGACAAGTCATCCTTTGAGGGGCCATTGCAATGCAAAAAAGCATTTGCATTTCCATATGTTCTATTAATGGATGATGTACAAGCCTTGGTAGCATCTCCACCACTTCTAGACATTGTACTCGCAACATTAGTTGTTTCAGAAAAAGCACTAAACTTCATCCGTTCAAGCCTCTTGCGCTTCAAAATTTCTAAACTACTTTTAAATTCTCCAGACAAAAATGACCTACCTTCCACCTGCCAAGAAGATATACACAATAAATAGAATGACGTGTTTTCATAATGTAATGCATATCAGAATACATGAAGGCCTGAATGTGCTATTTTTAGAAGTTTTGAATCCTCATTTTTCATTCATTCATACACTACTTTGAACAACTAATGAAATGAACCTAAATTTAGAAAAGCATACAAACAAAATTTAACAATTTCAGGCATACTTCATGAGTCAGTACTATCAGCCGTTAAGAGTCACCATGCTCAGGTGAAGGCATCTAATTGAAAAAGTAGGTTCAGATGGAATATTCCCTTAACTAGTTATAAATAATCTGACAATCTGACAGAGTAAAATGATTCACGTTTGACAATAAGATGGAAAGTTTACAATTTAGTTAAACAAAAATATACGTTATAACAGTTCATATCAACTAGACAATAAGAACACGAAACACAATTAATTAAGTGGCCCAAAAGCAACCACTGAAAAATAATATTCCGTTTACAGATTAAAAAAAGAAAATTATATAAAACAAGCATTGACTTTCCGCAGATCAATCAAATAAGATCTTAAAAGAAAGTAAACTTGCAATTTATGGTTTATTTAGGATAGCTGCAATTGTTTGCAAAATTGAATATGAAAATGTTGCAAGAAGTTTTTGAGAACCAAAAGAGCAACTGCACAGCTAAAATGTGCTATAATGAGTTTGGAGACGAAAAGCTGTTTTAAACGGCAAAATTTTCTGAAATGCAATCGAAAAGAAATTAGCTAAATGTCAATGTGGTTTGGGCATAATGAAATTATAATTTCCAAATGGAACTCCTGTAAAAAAGACAGCAGTAAGCAAGGCGGCTTAGAATTCAACAGAGAAAACATTTAAAGATGGTCAGAATTTGGCAAAACTGCAAAAAGAACTAACTCGCGCGCTAAATAGAAAAATCATGAAGTCAAACACCATCCGGAAAGCTAAATCAAACCGTAGATCAAACTCTACAAGACTCATAAACAAGTTACAACCAGTGCATAACATGCCATATATTTTTATCAAAATAACAGATCTTTCTGAATTCCATTATTAAGTATAAAGTTAAGAAAATTGACATTCTAACAATGATCAGAATGCATCCACAATACAAATAATATAAAAAAATAAGCAGAACCTCATCCACAATAAGAATACCAATCCAAAACAAAATGCCAGGGAACCTCATATTGTAAAAATTTGCAACATATTAAGTACGTGAAATAGAGGGAAAAAAAAAAGAGGTTGATTCTTATCTTTCAACAGAGGAGAAGCTACAAGTTTTGCTTCCCCTGTTTTGATCAGCACAACAAACAAAGCCGCAAAATATAAATATTTTGAACTAGCTAAAAATAGCTTAGACAAAAATGCAAAAAGCCGCCACCGTCATAAATCTGCCTAAAATCCCTAAAATCTGTGAATAATGGAGACAAAATCGCAACGAACTTATCAAGAACTTGAAATAGAGGGGGGAAAAAAGCAAAACAAAGCACACCTCCTGGAAAATCTATTCAAAGAAAAAAGTAAAGAGTAGCCAACGAATGCAAGATCTGCACCGCTTACCATTTCATACCGATCCGGCCAACCAATCCTCCGTCAAAATCCGCCAATTCAAGAACCCGAAACCACAAAAGACCATAAGAGAACGAAACCGCACTTGCCAGAAAGAGCTCTAGAATGAAATTTCCCAAGAAAGGGACCGCAAAATCGGTATCCGCTCCAGAAATCGATCCCACATTACTCTCTCACGCCCAAATCTTGAGCGAGATCCGAGCCTTATCCCCCAAGGCAAGTCACCGGAGCTACGGCGACCAAATAAGCGATCTTTCTTCACAAAAAAGAAAAGAAATCGCTGCGCCTAGAGAAGACCGCCGATACTCAACGACGGCGATCGGACACGGGAGCTCCGAGGCGACGGGAGGAGAGAAAAAAAATGGGAAGAAAACGAGGGAGGGAAGCCAAGGAACGGAACCGAAAACCGTGCCAAAGGAGATGGAATACTTGGAAAACGAGAAAAAGGCTAAGCTTTGTTTACTTATATAATTAGGGAAGTATTGTGGTAGTAAAATACTGATTAATTGTATTCTGGGAGTAATTAAGAGGGGAAAAGCGGTAGTTACGGGTTGTTCGACCGAACGCCTCGCAGACGGAACCCGTGGTGGAAACGTTATTTCCTTAAATTACGGTATCGCCCTTGTAAAATGGAAGAATTTACACGTGCGGTATTGGTCCTCTGGATATTGGACGGTGTTTCCGTTGAGAGTAATGAAGCTGTATTCAAAGGAGTCAGCAGAAAATGTCAAATTTTTTATTAGTTTAAATAATATAATGATGTGAAGGAAATAAATTTTCAATAGTTTTTTAGTGAATTGAAATTATTACATACTCATTTGATGAAAGAAGTTCAACTCAATTTTTGGAGTCCATTCCAAAATTAAGAGGAGGAGATATTGGTTTGATGATTAGACATTCCTCTCGTATCAATAAATTCATGTTTAAAGATAAAAAAAAATCTAAAAATACATTTATGCAGAATTAGGAGTGTAAATATGTCGAATAATACCGCTTAATCTGGTCATCTTAGAGGCTTGGGTCTCATCAAGATTTGACTGTGAAAGAGTAATATGGGATCAATTTTTGGAGCGGACATCGATTTTACAATCCCTTGCGTAGGAGACTGCATTCTAGGGCTCTCTTATGGCTAGAGTGGTTTCGTTTTCTTATGATCTTTTTGGTATTGGGTTCTTGAATTTGTGGACTTTGAAGGATGATTACTTGAGCTCATAAATAGAGTCTGGTTTGTGTTCGATTGAATTCAAATTTGAATTAGTTCGTGTTTGGCTCAATTTTGAGCTATACTCGAGATTACATATTATATTCATTTGAGCTTATTCGACTCAAAATAAATATTAATTTCATTCACCCACTTCATAGCACTTCATAATAGAGCACGAATGAAAATTGTAATTTTTTGTTTTAATTTTCACATTTAAATAGAATTCCTTCACATTTAAATAGACTTCCTAATGGGAATTCTTCCTCATGTAGGCGATGCGGGATAAAAAACATGGTGGCTTACATACAACCAAATTATGTATTTACATACATAACAAGAAAAAGCCGCATTTACATGCATTTCATAAGTATTTTATGGGCATTGACATACATACCACCCAAATCCTACTTATTTAAATATCTAACACATAAACTTTTTTTTTTTCCTTATAATCATGCCATCCAAATAATTTTTAAAAATAATAAAATTCAGAATTTTCTTAATACATATAAAAAATTTAGTATAAAAATATAAATAAATATTATTATTTAATTATTTTGAGTCAAAACGAGATGAACATGAATAAACAAATATTAGTTCGTGTTCAGCTCATTTACAAATTGATCTTAAAAAAATTATTCGTATTTTTTTCGCTTGCTCAACGAACGAATCGAACAAAACTTATTTAACGAGTCATGCACGAGCAGTTCACAAATAACAAACTTTTTTATGATAGCCCCTCCCATGACATAGTTGTTGAAGGTGTAATTCTTAATCGTGAGGTCGTAAATACAAATAGTCTATATTGCCCTTTGGGGCTACTCCCCGAAAAAAAATAATAATTCATACAAAAAAAAATGTTACATTAAAAATATTCCCTAAAAAAAAAATTTAAATCATACAATTTCATTTTAGGATTTGAGATGTATCATCACATTTGTAAAGGTGATCAACATCCATGTTATGAATTTAACTATGCAGTGTAATTATATATTAAGTGTAATTATATATTAAGTATATAATTTGATCTTATACAACCTAATATGTTATTATTATTTTTATAACATGTTATTAATATTTGATCTCAAATTTAGAAGCTCTATGATTAGAATTTAGTAAGGATTAGCACATGGGATACTTCAAACACAATAAGTTCCAAAATTATAAACAATAAACTAAATTTAGATTCCTAAACACAAGCAAATACAATTGCACATGTATATTATCCAAAATAGCTAACAAATATTTTGATATATTGGCATAATTAACCAAAAAATGATTGATGTTAGAGCCTTATGAGGGCATTATGTTATATCTCTCTTTATAGCATCATAGCTTATCTTTATCAAAAAATTTATCGATTTGGTTAAACGATGGAAAGGGGGGGCAGCTATATGAGACAATATTGAGTGTGATGGCTAAGAGAAGTAACATGAGAATGAGAGATTTGAGAGCAATTCAATTAGAGTTGGTCTATTTTTGCTTGCAGTAGTGAAATGATTCGTGATTTATCTTACAAATGATGAAAAATTATGAGAACAAATTCGACTTTTTTAAGATAATGAATTTATATCAAATATTTTATTAAAAAAAAGTTTGGCATTATGTTAGTTATAACCTTAAGTATGTATAATCTTAATTCTATAGGCCAAGGATAAATTTTCATTACATATTCATCAAGCTTTAAACAACGAGTATGTATGAATACACAAATACAATCATACAAAATATTTTTATTTATTTTTCTGATTTGGGCCCACCTGCCGAAGTGGTTAAATCGAGTCTAGCTACCAAAGTGGTTGTATTTATTTCTCTCTAAAGAACTGTCTAGCCTACTTGTGCGATGACAACTACTAGAAAATGTCATCATGACTAGTACGGGCACATGTCAATCCATCATTAAAAGTGATGCCCGACATTTAGAACTCGATATTTTCATTCACCAAGGATGACGGTCGTAACAACTCTGTTTGACACCTATAGCATAGTCTTTTCATCAAAACACTAGGGAAGGGAGCCATACAAAATAAAATATATTTCATTTAATGTTTACTTGCCTTTCTCTATTGTGTAAAAAAAGGAATGGAAAAGAAGATCAAAGTGATTTTTTTTTCCAAGTAGTTTTAAGAAGATCAAAATGATTTTTTTCTCCAAGTAATTTTTTTTTCCTCACTCTCTCTCTAAAATCTTATAACTTAGGCAACCTCCGATGAACGAAACTTTTATTGCTTACCAGAGATAAGAACCAATACATTCTTTGAGGTTTTCTCTCAAGGCTCACATCCATCGTCTCTCTCTCTTTCTCTTTCTCGGGTTATATGCATTCACGAATAAAACGAAATTCTACATGTCTAAAGGATTCAACATTGTCCTAAAACCAGTAAATATATTGCTTGTATTAAGTCTTTAGTGAGAGTGAATTGTAGGATGTTATCAATACTTCTTCTAAAAAATTAAAATATTTTATTTGAATGGCTTTTGAATTGAAGTCAATAACTAAAAGACCCGTGAGTACATTGAATGAATTTTAAATTTCACAACCCTACATCATATTCAACTAGCCTTACATCATGTTGAAACATAACTACATGCAAGAGTGACATCAAGTCTACTTCGAAAAAAAAGGTTTCCATTTCAAATCTATGATTCCGATGTAAAATGGAATTAAAAGGTGCATAATTTTTTAATCATATTTTAAATTAATTTGAGACAAATCTAATTATTTTATTAAGTAATATTTAAATTATTACTCAGCATATATCTCCTTAAAATATACAAAACAAAAATCTTATAGATTTTTTACTCGTATTGATCTGAATTGCATTTAATGAGGCGTCCAAGATTGAACAGCGTCAACTCATAGTTCAACTTAGCAGAAATCAAGTACCTGCCATTAGTGCCAGATTAGCAAGAGCTCGGAGAGCCTGCTGGTCAACACGTGGAGCCAGTCTCTAGCATAACAACAGAACGGTATGAGCTGTCCGTTACGCGAAACCGCCATGAATTTACCCCGCCTCGCGGCCGGCGTCTTTTCCTGACCCGCGGTTCCTGGATTCCACTTGGCGGTTATCCGATACCATTGTTTAAGATCACCTAACCATGACTTACCCTCCCAAAATCGGAATCAATAGCTGTATTCCATTTGCTTTGGGGGAGAAGCACAACGGGGGTAGGAATGTAGGCGGAGCAGAACCAGGTGAATCCGTTTGTTAATTTCCCGGTTCGCGGTCGTTAACACGAATTGTGCGCGTGATTGTACTGTGGGAGCTTTTGGAGACGCGGTCACACACGGTGGGGATCTTTTACTGGGTCGTTAGCGACGGGTTTGGATTGGGGGACTCGGACCGGTCTCTTTCCAAAGCTGCCCGGCCGGGTCGACCCGCGACGTCCCACCTGTCTTTTTTAATAAAACTTTGGATCTTCACGATGTTTTGAAGTTTAGAACTCGCATGGTAATTTGTTGGAATCTAAACAGCTGCAAGTGGAATCAATTTGCTTGCAGACCATTACAACAACAACAGCAACAAAATTTTTATCTCACCAATTAGAGTCGGTTGTGATGCGTGTCAGAAAATTCGCGACGGTAGAATAATGAATTATTGTCTTAGCATTGCACGAGAATTCAACACATATAGATAACAAAAAAAAGTAAGCATAATGAGACACATCAACTTTTTACGTGAAAATCCCTTGAAATGAGGAAAAATCACGGGGCCTAACCCAGTTGAAATAATCCACTATAAATGTACACAAGTTCATTCTTCCCCTAAATTAGCGAAGATAAATTTACAAAATTGCATAAATATAATCTGATTGCAATTTTTGGTGACAACAAGTTGCAAGAGTCATTGTAGATGGTTGATCCAGAAGCGTTGATTAACCAGAGAAGTCATAGTAAGCAGTTGCAGGACCTGTGAATCACGTAAACTGTAGTTGGCGAGTATTGGTGACGTTTATAAATTGTTGGGGTCGAAGTCGGGAACTGCATGAGCTGATGATTGTGTAGGTCATTGTTGGCCTATGAACCGTAGTGGTAAGCAGTGGTGACGTCCATAGACCGTTAGGACTGGAGTCGAGAGCTGCATGAGCTGATGACCACGTTAGTCTTAGTTGGCATATGAACCATAGTTGTGAGCTCTTGTCTTACAGACGGGAGAGAGTTACTAAATTTTTCAAGTTACGACGTTGACTGACAATGTCTGGTCAGCGGCGGTTGACGACGATTGGCGGTGGTCAATGACTGTCGGCGGATGACGGTCAGTGATGGTCGACGACGATCAGCGGTGGTCGACGGCAGTTGGGATTTGAGCTTCTTCTAGACGACCTTCAGCGGTGGTGCTAGACTTCAGCTCCTTATCCAAGCCTCAAGTTCTTTCCCAAGGCTTCTGCTCAGTCTCATGTGAGGGGTAGGGGTCTATTTACAGTATTATGGGTGCAATTAATGTAATAATATAAACCATTTTGATCGGATGGTCCGGAGAGCTTCCCTCAATCATGAGGTGTTTAATGGACATTTGAGTGCCTTAATGATGTCAGAATAAAGTGATTTTGGGCTCGTTGGATTTGTTTTGTTGAGGCGCTCAATTTGAGTATAAACTTGCTATATTCGACAACTGTTTGACCTTCCAATTGTGTCCAAAAATCTTCTAATTGTTGTTCAATGACTGGATATGAGCTTGATTTGACTCGGATTGAGCTAGTTTTCATATCACTATGTCCATCTCATCAAGCCGGTCAGTTTGATTATAAGTTACTAAAATCGGAACTCTGGAAGATTTTTTATCAAGATTTGAATGTTTATTATTAAAAATGTTGTCTCAAGATTCGTGTCATGCCTCGAGATTCGTGCTGAATGATGAAAATTTGCTAATGGCGTATCAAGTTGCATGAATCTTTTTCTCGAGTGTGTCATATTTAGTGTCGTATTTTTATTTAATTCTAATAAATTAATATCATTTCTTATACAATATGCTTAAGTCATCATAGGTCTACCTCTGTCTTTCTTACCATAAATAAAATCTAAAACATCTACTCTTCCAATTGGATCATCAGATGATCGAAGTTTAATGTGACCAAACCATCTAAGACGACTCTCTCTAATTTTGTTCGTCATTGGAGCTACACCAACCCTATCACGTATATATTTATTTCGCATTCTATCTCTAAGTGGTAAAGCCACTCATTCACCTAATCATTCTCATCTCGACGACACTTAAATTAGGTTTATGCTTCTCTTTTAAAGGCCAACATTCAACACCATAGTGCATTACAAGTCTCACCACCAACTTATAAAATTTTCCTTCAGTCTAATCGGTATTTTTCTATCACACAATATGCCTAAAGCATTCATTCGCTTCAACCAACTAACTTGAATTCTACTAATAACATCCCCATCAATATCACCATCACTTTGAACAATAGAACTGAGGTATCTAAAGCGTTCACATCTTTTAACGCTTGTGGACCATTGAAAATTAAATTTTTTGTAATGCATTTATTACACGAAAATAATAACTTTGTCATGGACACCTACAGAAACTTTGAGGGTGTACAGAAAAATTTTAGAAGCTTAGTTTTGCACGAAGATTTTACACAAATATGTGAAAATATAGGGCATGAGACGTTGAGAATTTTACAAAAAAAAGTTATGAAATGAAAAATCTGGGGACTAGCTAAATGAAAATGACTGCATTACATAGGTGTAAGTTATAAAATTATGCTCATCTCCTAAATAAGAGAAGACAAAATTAAAACAGTGTGGATCATTGGCTTGGCTTTTTCTGAGAGCAATGAAAAAAAATATAGGCGGGACATCGATCTGACTATTTCGGCTAAATGTGGGGGCCCGACAATGACAGATAAATGATGATTTGACAATGATAATTGGGTTATGACGATTAAGTTGCAGTGAAAATTTAGCAACAACAATCTAGTGGTAGTGATAGCATGGTGATGGAGGTTTGGAAACAGCAGTGGTTCTATGGTAGTGATTAAACATTGCCAGCCAGATAAGAACTTTGGGGTAGTGGTCCAATGGTGGTGACCGGGCAATGGTGTTATGATGACAAATGGTTAGACAGAGCTTAAGGATAATAAAAAACTTAGAGCTCCTTACAATCACAATTTCAAGTGCCAGTTCAATTAGAGAGTGGGGCTGCGGGTTATGCATCCAAACCAAAAACTTGAATCTAGCCATGTATATTTTGTTGATTCGATTCAATTTATTAAAGAATAGTTTAAATTTTTATTTACAATTAAGGGTTTATTAAATTTCTGTTTTGGGTTTCAGTTTAGAAAAGAAAAAGCTTGGTTTCTCAATTTTCTATTTATATTTTAATTTTATTTTGATATTTACACTATTAAAATTGAATCTACTAACTATTTTTTCCTCTCAAAATTTAATTAAGCAAGAATTGATCAAATTTGGTTGGTTTGATTTTACTTATAATTTAGTTCAATTTAAAGAATTTTTTAATCAATATAATTTAATCGATTGAATGCAAACCGCTGGTGGGGATATATCTATCAATTTTGAGTATTATCCTCTATAAATTTCTTTAAATTTTGGAACATTTCATCAAACATCCTAAAATGATTTCCTTGGTTGCAAGATATTCTTGAGTGTTTGAATACTTTAATAATATTTATATTAAGGATTTTGGGCAAAATATATTTGTCTCATCGAGAAACTTAATTTCACAACAAGCTCATAAAATTTAGAAATTGTTTTGTCCTTCAATTAATGCCCCAAAATTTTTAATCATACTTTCAGTATTTTATTCGGACATAGTTGACAAATCGGATTACATTTAATTTAATTTTTTTCTTTCATTGAGAAGTTTAGTTTTAATATAGTTTTGCTAAAATTGCAACTTAAATAGTCCTTAATTTTAAGATAATAAATTTATATGAAATATTTTATTAAGAACAAGTTTGGCATAATGTTAGTTATAACATTTTGCTGGAGCTCAAGTGTGTATAATCTTAATTCTATAGGCCAATGATAAATTTTCATTACATATTCATCAAGCTTCAAACAACGAGTATGTATGAATACACAAATACAATCATAAAAAAAAATTTATTTATTTTTTCTGATTTGGGCCCACCTGCCGAAGTGGTTAAATCGAGTCTAGCTACCGAAGTGGTTGTATTTATTTCTCTCTAAAGAAACTATCTAGTCTACTTGTGCGATGAAAACTACTAGAGAATGTCATCATGACTAGTAAGGGCATTTGTCAATCCATCAGTAAAAGCGATGCTCAACATTTAGAACTTGATATTTTCATACACCAGGGATGAGGGTCGTAACAACTCCGCTTGACACCTATAGCGTAGTCTTTTCATCAAAACACTAGGGAAGGGAGTCATACAAAATAAAATGTCTCATTTAATGTTTATTTGCCTTTCTCTATTGTGTAAAAAAAGGAATGGAAAAGAAGATCAAAATGATTTTTTTCTCCAAGTAATTTTTTTTTCCTCACTCTCTCTCTAAAATCTTATAACTTAGGCAACCTCCGATGAACGAAACTTTTATTGCTTACCAGAGATAAGAACCAATACATTCTTTGAGGTTTTCTCTCAAGGCTCACATCCATCGTCTCTCTCTCTTTCTCTTTCTCGGGTTATATGCATTCACGAATAAAACGAAATTCTACATGTCTAAAGGATTCAACATTGTCCTAAAACCAGTAAATATATTGTTTGTATTAAGTCTTTAGCGAGAGTGAATTGTAGGATGTTATCAATACTTCTTCTAAAAAATTAAAATATTTTATTTGAATGGCTTTTGAATTGAAGTCAATAACTAAAAGACCCGTGAGTACATTGAATGAATTTTAAATTTCACAACCCTACATCATATTCAACTAGCCTTACATCATGTTGAAACATAACTACATGCAAGAGTGACATCAAGTCTACTTCGAGAAAAAAGGTTTCCATTTCAAATCTATGATTCCGATGTAAAATGGAATTAAAAGGTGCATAATTTTTTAATCATATTTTAAATTAATTTGAGACAAATCTAATTATTTTATTAAGTAATATTTAAATTATTACTCAGCATATATCTCCTTAAAATATACAAAACAAAAATCTTATAGATTTTTTACTCGTATTGATCTGAATTGCATTTAATGAGGCGTCCAAGATTGAACAGCGTCAACTCATAGTTCAACTTAGCAGAAATCAAGTACCTGCCATTAGTGCCAGATTAGCAAGAGCTCGGAGAGCCTGCTGGTCAACACGTGGAGCCAGTCTCTAGCATAACAACAGAACGGTATGAGCTGTCCGTTACGCGAAACCGCCATGAATTTACCCCGCCTCGCGGCCGGCGTCTTTTCCTGACCCGCGGTTCCTGGATTCCACTTGGCGGTTTTCCGATACCATTGTTTAAGATCACCTAACCATGACTTACCCTCCCAAAATCGGAATCAATAGCTGTATTCCATTTGCTTTGGGGGAGAAGCACAACGGGGGTAGGAATGTAGGCGGAGCAGAACCAGGTGAATCCGTTTGTTAATTTCCCGGTTCGCGGTCGTTAACACGAATTGTGCGCGTGATTGTACTGTGGGAGCTTTTGGAGACGCGGTCACACACGGTGGGGATCTTTTACTGGGTCGTTAGCGACGGGTTTGGATTGGGGGACTCGGACCGGTCTCTTTCCAAAGCTGCCCGGCCGGGTCGACCCGCGACGTCCCACCTGTCTTTTTTAATAAAACTTTGGATCTTCACGATGTTTTGAAGTTTAGAACTCGCATGGTAATTTGTTGGAATCTAAACAGCTGCAAGTGGAATCAATTTGCTTGCAGACCATTACAACAACAACAGCAACAAAATTTTTATCTCACCAATTAGAGTCGGTTGTGATGCGTGTTAGAAAATTCGCGACGGTAGAGTAATGAATTATTGTCTTAGCATTGCACGAGAATTCAACACATATAGATAACAAAAAAAAGTAAGCATAATGAGACACATCAACTTTTTACGTGAAAATCCCTTGAAATGAGGAAAAATCACGGGGCCTAACCCAGTTGAAATAATCCACTATAAATGTACACAAGTTCATTCTTCCCCTAAATTAGCGAAGATAAATTTACAAAATTGCATAAATATAATCTGATTGCAATTTTTGGTGACAACAAGTTGCAAGAGTCATTGTAGATGGTTGATCCAGAAGCGTTGATTAACCAGAGAAGTCATAGTAAGCAGTTGCAGGACCTGTGAATCACGTAAACTGTAGTTGGCGAGTATTGGTGACGTTTATAAATTGTTGGGGTCGAAGTCGGGAACTGCATGAGCTGATGATTGTGTAGGTCATTGTTGGCCTATGAACCGTAGTGGTAAGCAGTGGTGACGTCCATAGACCGTTAGGACTGGAGTCGAGAGCTGCATGAGCTGATGACCACGTTAGTCTTAGTTGGCATATGAACCATAGTTGTGAGCTCTTGTCTTACAGACGGGAGAGAGTTACTAAATTTTTCAAGTTACGACGTTGACTGACAATGTCTGGTCAGCGGCGGTTGACGACGATTGTCGGTGGTCAATGACTGTCGGCGGATGACGGTCAGTGATGGTCGACGACGATCAGCGGTGGTCGACGGCCGTTGGCGGGGGTAGACGACCTTCAGCGGTGGTGCTAGACTTCAGCTCCTTATCCAAGCCTCAAGTTCTTTCCCAAGGCTTCTGCTCAGTCTCATGTGAGGGGTAGGGGTCTATTTACAGTATTATGGGTGCAATTAATGTAATAATATAAACCATTTTGATCGGATGGTCCGGAGAGCTTCCCTCAATCATGAGGTGTTTAATGGACATTTGAGTGCCTTAATGATGTCAGAATAAAGTGATCTTGGGCTCGTTGGATTTGTTTTGTTGAGGCGCTCAATTTGAGTATAAACTTGTTATATTCGACAACTGTTTGACCTTCCAATTGTGTCCAAAAATCTTCTAATTGTTGTTCAATGACTGGATATGAGCTTGATTTGACTCGGATTGAGCTAGTTTTCATATCACTATGTCCATCTCATCAAGCCGGTCAGTTTGATTATAAGTTACTAAAATCGGAACTCTGGAAGATTTTTTATCAAGATTTGAATGTTTATTATTAAAAATGTTGTCTCAAGATTCGTGTCATGCCTCGAGATTCGTGCTGAATGATGAAAATTTGCTAATGGCGTATCAAGTTGCATGAATCTTTTTCTCGAGTGTGTCATATTTAGTGTCGTATTTTTATTTAATTCTAATAAATTAATATCATTTCTTATACAATATGCTTAAGTCATCATAGGTCTACCTCTGTCTTTCTTACCATAAATAAAATCTAAAACATCTACTCTTCCAATTGGATCATCAGATGATCGAAGTTTAATGTGACCAAACCATCTAAGACGACTCTCTCTAATTTTGTTCGTCATTGGAGCTACACCAACCCTATCACGTATATATTTATTTCGCATTCTATCTCTAAGTGGTAAAGCCACTCATTCACCTAATCATTCTCATCTCGACGACACTTAAATTAGGTTTATGCTTCTCTTTTAAAGGCCAACATTCAACACCATAGTGCATTACAAGTCTCACCACCAACTTATAAAATTTTCCTTCAGTCTAATCGGTATTTTTCTATCACACAATATGCCTAAAGCATTCATTCGCTTCAACCAACTAACTTGAATTCTACTAATAACATCCCCATCAATATCACCATCACTTTGAACAATAGAACTGAGGTATCTAAAGCGTTCACATCTTTTAACGCTTGTGGACCATTGAAAATTAAATTTTTTGTAATGCATTTATTACACGAAAATAATAACTTTGTCATGGACACCTACAGAAACTTTGAGGGTGTACAGAAAAATTTTAGAAGCTTAGTTTTGCACGAAGATTTTACACAAATATGTGAAAATATAGGGCATGAGACGTTGAGAATTTTACAAAAAAAAGTTATGAAATGAAAAATCTGGGGACTAGCTAAATGAAAATGACTGCATTACATAGGTGTAAGTTATAAAATTATGCTCATCTCCTAAATAAGAGAAGACAAAATTAAAACAGTGTGGATCATTGGCTTTGCTTTTTCTGAGAGGCATGA